ATATCTAAGGAAATGTTTTTCTGAGAAACCATAGCCAGTAGGAACCAAACAATTTTTAGTACAAAACAGAGTTTGACTGGATCGTTTTTCAAAGCATATAGGGGTTTTTAAAAGGAAATTTTTCCTGAGTGAGTGCAAGATGTCTGCTGTTGAATGCAAGCATGTTTCTTGTTATTATCTTGAGAGCTAGATATGCTTTGGGGGCATTGTATGGACATTGTGCAATGCAGGCAACTCAGATACTCTCATGGTTTAGAGCTGCACTGGCCAACCCTGTTGCCACTAGCCACATGTGGCTATTTAAATTTAATATAATTAAAGTTGGATAAAATTTTAAATTTGGTTCCTCAGTCACACTAGCCACTTAGCAGTAACCACACGTGTGGCTAGTGGCGACCATGTTAGCACAGATATGGAACATTTCCATCAAGGCAGAAAGATCTGTTGGACATTGATGGTTTAGAATAAGAGATGCTAAAGTCAGGCTGTCTTCATCCGAATCACAGCTCTCCCTCACTGGTTATGTGACCTTGGGCGGGTTACTTTACTTCTCTGAATATCAGCTTCCTCATCAATAAAATGAGTATAATAATCCTTACTTCTGCTGATCTTATGAAGATTAAACACAATAGTATTGGTTAAGTGCTTAACACCTTGCCTGGGACATAAGTAAGCATCCAATAAATGGAAGCTATCATTCTTTTCGTAGTGTTTGATAATCTCTGTCTTTTTTGTCTTTTTGAAGGTGAGGAGGTGGGCACTGTGTTTATTTGTTTAAAGCTAATAACTGCAAGATACTCTTGGCCTCATTTCTAACTAGACAAGCGGAAGGCTGTGTTGTAAGCTGTAGAAACCCCAGTTTGTCAGCCTGCTGATTTTTTTTTTTTTTTTAATATGCTGTCCCTGAGAAACATGATAGAATTTGTTTTACTTCTCTTCTGCCAGGAAGTAACCCTTCTGGCTTTGTTAGAAGCGTGGTTTGTAATAATTGTACCCACCCCAGATGGCTCCTGAAAACCCTTTGAAATGCCATCTGCCAGGCGTGTGTCCAGCCGGCAGCCTGTCATTCTACTAGAAGAAAAGAGGAGGCGGGGTCCCCTCCCAGGCCCTTTTCTCCCTTGCGTCACTGAATGGAGCCTGGTCCTGTTGGCCCGGACCCAGGGCGGGTTGCTCAGAGGATAACCGGGAGTGAACCTCCTGCTCGCCTGCAGAGTGGAAAGGTTCTGGCTGGTAATAAACCCTGAAGGTTTTGTGGGTGGAGATGTACCCTCCTCCTACCCCCTTCCCCTGCAGCTCAAAGGCCATATTTATTCACATGGGAAATCTGCTAGTTTCATTTTTCATCTAAAACGTAGCATTTTTGAAGTTCTTGATTATTTTGAATCCTTTCAGGAACTTAACACCCAGGGGTTATTGTTGTCTTTAAAGTAAATCTGACAAATTGGTTCTAAAATCCTGGTTGAAAAAAATGGCAAAGATAAGATGGCTACAGAAGGAGGAAAAACCCAACGTTGTCTGGTTTTAGAAGACTTTCAAAACCCAACAGTCTTTTGTTTGGTTTTATTTATGCTCATCTTTTTATGGGTGGAGATGGATTCAGTTCATGGAATTTTGGTGCAGAGACCCAGTATGAGAGTTGCCGTCTAGAGCATATTTAAGACAGATCCTTTCACAGCAAGTTTCAAAGAGATTCTATTCTTGCCTGCATTGGGATTTCCCAATATGATGTCGACTGTTTGTGTTTTCCAAGTAGCCGGCTGAACAGCTTTTTCACTTGGCTCCAAGACATCACACCCGCCTCCTTTGGTCCTGCCTTGCTGACTGCTGCTTCTCAGTCTCCTTTGAGGATCTTCCTCTTTTTCTCAGTTTCTAAAAATTACAAGGTTTTAGTGTTCAACCCAAATTTCTTGTCTTCTTTTTCTGCACACTCTCTCCCTAAATGATCCTTTCTGTCTCTTGCCTTCAAAGGCTGGTGGTTTACTGATCACTCCCAAGTTTATGTCCCAACCTCCACTCTGCTCTTCAGATTTATGTAGTCAACTGTCCACAGCTCTCTACACTTAGGTGTCTAATAGGCATCTCAAACATTACATGTCCAAAAGTCTTCTTGATCTCTGTAAATGGGACAACCCATTGGCCCAGGTCAAAGAATAAGATGTCAGTCTTTATTCTTCTGTTTTTCTTACTCACTACATCCTCTCCATCAGCACGTTCTGGCTTCAAAATACAGACCTAGCATGGCCTGAGGAGTTGGCACACTTTTAACTTGTCTCTCCTGTGGACTGTGTTAACAGCTGTTTGAAGATATTCACGATTCGTGATAGAAATCTGACTGCTTCTTACTTCCTACGTCCTGCTGTTCTTGTCCGTGCCTGATTCTCTCTCCCCTGGACGCTGTCATAGCCACTTGACTGGTCTCCTTGCTTCTGTCTTGCCCACTTCCCCTTACACTCTGTCCATAGCCTGGTCTCTGTAAAACTCAGTGATCTTTTAAAAATGAATCATGTCACGACCCTGCTCACAACCCTCTAGTGGCTTCCTATCATCCTTAGAACAAAATATGACGTGTTGTCTGTGGCCTACATCAGCTGGCCCATTGCTCTCATTTCTAACCTCTTGTCCTTTGCTCTGAACAACTGCTCTGGCCTTTTTTGCCCTTCCTCCAACATGTCAAGCCTGTTCCTACGTCAAAGCCCTTGGCCTTTCCTCTGCCTACAGTGCTTTTCCCATCACCTTTGCATGGCTCTCAATGTAGATGGCACCTCCTTAGCCAGGCTTTTCCTAATCGCCCGTCTAAAATAGCTTCCCTGCTCCCCACCGCGCTTCCTTCCTCCAAACACTTTCAAGCCTTTAGCTCCTGTCGCTCTGAGACGCTTTCTAATCCTTTCACCCAGGTTTCCTATGGGAGAATTATTTCCATCTGAAATTATATGCTGTATTCACATATATCTTTATTTTCTATCTTTCATAGTAAAATATAAATTCCATTAGGGTGGGAGCTTTATCTTGCTTACCAGTCTTTCCCCAGTGCCTAAATTGGTGCCTGGTGTGTACTGGGGTCTCTATAAATATTTATTCAAAAGATTAAACATATAATGATCCATGTAGTGATATATATATATATATATATATATATATATATATATGTATATCACTTGAACTATAATATTCTATCAACTCGTTTCATTCTAACGATAATATAAACTGTAATATGTACCAATGACTATTGAGCTAGGCCTTCTAAAAGGTTTATCTCATTCAATACCCACAACAAACCTATAGTGTAGGTACTGTTGTTATCCCTAGTTTGCAGATGAGGAAACTAAGAAATAACAGAACCTGAGGAACGTGCCCAAGACCACAAGTTGGGAAGCCAAACCATGAACCCATCATTCCCGCTCCAGACACCTGTTCATCAGAAGTATATGGTACTCTTTATGTTTCCAGAGTACCTACTGTGTGCCTGACCCTGGAGATATAAATTTAAAAATTGTGAATTACCTCAGAAGCTTGTCACCATCTGTCAGGGGAGCCAGAAGTGGCAACAAATTAGGAAATAGTACAAGCGTAGACTTCCAGATCTACACAAGCAGGCTTCTTTACCAGAAAGCCCCAATATGCTGGGCATGGTAAGCAAACATTTGTAAAACAACTGTTTTATGGACAATTGGCAGCTGTTTAAAACCTCTGATTTCAGATATTAGAAAAATTTGGTTCATTTAAAATGTATTTACGCTGAGTAAAATATGCACTAGGTGTTAAGTTTTTTGACTTAGAATTCTGGGTCTCCACTGTAGGTGTTTGGCCATGATCGTTCCCATGGGCAGGTGAGCAGAGAGACTGCACTGTGCTGGGAACATTAGAGCCGCTAGGTTCATACAGTTGGCTATTTAATTGCTTTAAATTTCCTAGGAATAGGGGGAAATCCCCGATTATTAAGTTCCTAGGAATACAGAAAAATCCCTGCTCATTATATAGGTCAACATTAATCTTAAGGCACCATACATAATGGTGCCTTGCAAAATGAGCCAAGTTAATCGTATCTCCTAACTTGACTATAGGAGCAGAAATCATGTATTTTACTCTTTTTTTGGTCTCCCATAATATTTAACATAGGTTCCTAGTACGCACTACATAATTGCTTCTTGGCTTATTTTCTTTTCTTGATTTATGTGTAAACCACATTCCTTCCACGTTGCTTCCACACTTTTGGTTGAGATTGGGCTAAAATGATAGCTCTACAGCCCGGCACCTGAGCTGGGTTACTTAAATACTCTAGAGGCCCTATAGTATTTCTTAAGAAGAATTGTTTTATTTATTAGTCATTGAGAGAATGACCAGATTAATTGGAGAATTTCCTAACAAATGCAGTGTCCTTTCTCTCTAGTCAGAACTTAATGGGTGGCCTCTTTTTACCAAACATATTAATTACATGGAGAGCCGCAGCATTTTAATACCTGGGAGATATCCAACCACAGATCTGGGGCAATTGGAATGCTCTAGTGATGTGTTTATGCAGTCAGTGTCATTTTCTTCAAAGGGCTTACTACATTGGAACTTGCCGGATGTACTGCGGAACCCAAGAATTTCGAAGCTTGTGATAAAAATATAAACCCCTTAGGCTCTGAGCTTAAGGAGGATAACTTTTTAGTATTTACTGGAGTCATAAAAGCTGCTGATTGTGAATGTTGTCTGTATAAAATCCAGTTCACCATTTTCATTCAGTGCATTTTTAAAATGATAAAGCTCTCCTCGAGTTACCTAGCTGTACTTTGTTTTCTCTTTCTCCTCTTTGAGGGTCCCAGGCCCCTGAAGGGTGGAAGTGAGGATGCTATTCTGTTAGAAATAAGTTGGCTTTCCCAGGTCCCTATCCGGGCGGGTAGGTGTGCAGTCTTAGGTACTCCAGCTTACTGAACAGGTTATTTTAATTACACCTGGATGCAGAGCTTCCTGTTTTAGTGGACTGATGATTTGTTGTGCCTTTGTCTTGTCTCCTGCAGGCACAACCCGATCTCCAAGAGAAGGAGAAGTGCCTGGCGTGGACTATAACTTTCTGACTGTGAAGGAGTTCTTGGACCTTGAGCAAAGTGGGACTCTTCTGGAAGTTGGCACCTATGAAGGTGAGCTTATCTGTATGGTAGCCTTGAGGATGCCTTTCTCTTGGGTACTTCAGGGGATCCAGGGCCATTGAGGCAAAAACATTTTGGGGGCTAGTGAGGTCTTAACAACTATGGGAGACTGCAGTTCACCTTAATGTGATTAATAATAATAAAATACATGGAAGAAGGCTTTGTGGAGCTCTTTTTCTCTAGGAGTTTTCTCCTTTATTAATCTAAATATATGTGTGTATGTGGGCATGTATGGTATTAGAAGAGGAAAAAGAATCATGGTCAGCCACAAACTATGATCTTCTAGATAGTGTTTTAATCTCGAAGGACTGGAATGTCATTTTTACCACTAATTGTTTTTTAATGTATTTTTTGAGCATATAATACACTCCTCTCAAATTTCTTTACGTAAATACAAACATGCATGTGTGTATGTATATATACACTTTTTTTTATTTCTTCCCTGTTTTACACAAAAGGTAGTATACAACACAGGCTGTTTGGTATCTTGCTCTTTTATTTAATAGTATGTCTTATAAGTCTTTGCAGTTCAATAATAGAGCCCTTCTTGCTTTCTTTTTTAAGTGGCTGTGTAATCTCTTTGTCTGGGCATACCATAATTTATTTAACTGATTCCCTGCAGATAAACATTTGGGTCATTTTCAATTTTAAATACTCAAAACACTACTGCATGGAGTAACATGGACATTTCACACAGGTGAAAATGTATCTATAGGATGAGATCTCACAAATGGGACTGCAAGGTCAAAGCCAAATGTGGAGAAAAAATTAAAATTACATTTCCTGAAAACAGTATTATAACTTGATTACTGTTCGGAGTGTTATTATTTGATGAGATAGAAGGGGTATAATATTAACTAGGTCAAATTATTAACTTGGTCCAGTTATTATGTTATATGTAACTCTTTATAAACTCTCAAAATTTAGATTTATTGGATGATCACAGGGGCATTTTCAAGATTAGGCTTAAAAACAAAGGGTAAATACAGAGTAGGCTATTATTTTATTAGGAACTTTATAGCTTTGATGTGATAATATCTCCTGTTCCAGGCATTGGCCGACAGTTAAGAGAAGATCATAAATCTTAGAGATCTGATTCTGGTTTGATATTCTTTGGAGAGAGAAGGGGAAGAGTGTTATCTTTGTACCTACTGCTGATTTCCAAATTGTAAATATACGTTAGACAGTGTTTAGATGTTTTGGATGCTAATCAAATTCCTGATTGTGAATTCAGGAATATTTCCTTTGAGTATTGCTTATTATCAGTTGTCTTAGTTTCCTTGAGGTGTTGGGGTCTGACCAGTGCTTGCTGGGCTGGGAGGGGATCTGAGAATGCTCAAGCAAGGATGATTCCTGAAGGCCTGGGAGTGAGGTGAGGGACGAGAGGGGGGCTAAGTGGATGTGCCAGGAGCTTCTTCAACATGTTGTCATGTAGATGTGAATCTAGTTAAAAATTTAAGTGGCTGAGGATAGATCAAGTATGAATCCTCTTTGGTTAGCAGAAAGTGAATTGTCCTTATCTGAAATCAATTATTATGCCCATCTGGGGAGCTTGAATCTCAGAATATAAAAAACATCCATTGGCATTTTGGGATAGGGCAAGTGTGGGAGTGGTTGTGCAAAGCCAAAGATTATTGGGTTGAAAAGGAGAAGCATGTGACTTAGCCAACAATTTGGGAAAAAGAAAAATGAACTCAGTTTATTGAGATGTTTATGTTCCAAGTGATATATAGGTGGAGTCATTTTGTTTTCCCATTTAATTTTATTGCTCTGACAGAGGTAGCTATTATCACCCAATTTTTAGATGGGGATGCTGAGGCCAAATAGCATCTAGGAACTTTTTCAAGGTTGTACAACTGGTTCTAGAATGCTAGAGCCAAGAAGCAAACCCAGCTCAGTTTGACTTTCAGGTCTCACACTCTTTCCTGAAAACCCTAAGAAGAATATCCTGGATGTAACCAAAAAGTTGCAGAAATAACCCCTTAATACTTTCACCGAACTGCCTGCTGGGTAGCAACAGGGAAAAGTTTTTGGGAAAATTTCTGATCGTCTTCTATAAAAGTGCCTTTTCTGTGAATGTCTCTTGGTTATTTTCGAGTTGCAATTTCCTTGGGCCCAGCATTAATCCATTCCATTGTTTGGCTATTTGACTGTGCAGTGTTCTTTAGCCTTTGACCTTTCAGCTGCGTAATTTCCCTACCATACGAGACAGCTCATACTTTTTTGGAACCGACTGGAGTATATCATGTTGACTCTAATAAGCTGAAAGCAAAATAGAATTTTTATGAAATGCCAGATACTGTCACAGGAGTAGGGTTGGATAGATCTTTAGAGAGCTTCCTCTGTCTTTGCCTCCCCTGGACCAATCCCTCGACGGTGCTGCTGTCTGCTGGACACTTAACAAGCATGCAGGCTGTGGCGCTGCCTGAGTTTGAGTCTTAGCCCCTCTGCTGCTGAGCTGTGTGCCCTCCGGCAAGTTGCTTAATGCTCCGTGTCTCCATTTTCCCTTCGGTAAAATGAGGATAATAATAGTGCTTCCTCACAGGTAGGATTAAATGAGACAATAATTGGAAAGGGCTGAGCACAGCGTCTGACACATGTAAGCTCTCAATCAGCGTTAGCTCTTATATTTACACACACGACTGGGCTGAGATGGCCACCCTAGTGGATTCCCTCCCCCTTCTATTATTAGTCAGTAAACCAGTGGATTTGCCAGTAAAATATCTTCATCTACTTCCCAGGTACTCACCATCTTTTTTCCCTGCTCAATTTTTTTTTCTCTCGGCCTGTCCTGGTTCTAGAGAGGAAAAATGTGCCACAACAACACAGAACACTCTTTATAGCAAGACTCTTTAAACATTTTTAAATAAAAATATGTAATAAATGTGCATGATGGAAGACTTCCTATAGTAAAGGATATAAACATATTTAAGTCCAAATTACTTCCCCTCTTCCCCATAGGGAACTGCTGTTAAAGGATCAAGTGCAAAGATGCGGAAAACTTACACATAAACAGCATGTACATATGTGTTCTTGTTTATTTCAGTCTGTTCTTGCCTTTTGCACTTAGCATATCTTGGAGATCTTTTCACATTAACCCATACAGTTCCACCTCATTCTTTTCTTTTTTTTTTTCCTAAAGATTTTATTTTTCCTTTTTCTCCCCAAAGCCTCCTGGTACATAGTTGTGTATTTTTAGTTGTGGGTCCTTCTAGTTGTGGCATGTGGGATGCCAGCTCAGCATGGCTTGATGAGCGGTGGCATGTCCGCGCCCAGGATCCGAACTGGCGTAACCCTGGGCCGCTGAAGCGGAGCACGCGAACTTAACCATTTGGCCACCGGGCCGGCCCCCCACCTCATTCTTTATAAATGCTGCACAGTGTCGCAGTGTATGAATATATGTAACTTATTTAACAAGTCCCCTGCAGAGGGACATTTGGGATCCTCTCCACTCCCTCTTTTTCTGGTGTTTTATAAACAATGCTGCAATGAGCGTCCCTGTGCTAATATCTCGCTACACTGTTTTGAATATATCTTTAGAGTACTTTTCTGGCAGTGCAGTTTTAAAGCAAGCCCTTCTCTGCAAATACGGTGTTTCAACAAATGTTTATTAAGCATTTACTTTGGTTCAGACATTGTCCCGAGGCAGGCACGGGGTATAACGTCCAGGATAGAAGACTAAAACAGCTCTGCTTGAGTTAGTTATTTTTGCCAACACTTGTCTAGTGTATCCTGTGTGCTGGGTACTCTTCAAAGTGTATTATATGCACCAACTCACTTGATTACCCGACAGTCCTCTGAGGTGGATACAGTTTAACCTCCTTTTATGGAAGAGGAATGGGAGACCTGGAGATGACAGTTATCTTTTGTAAGTTCACATGCTGAGGCAGAGATAGAGCTGGGGTTCAAACCCAGGCTGTCCGGCTCCAGGGTTTGACTACAGTCCGTCAGTCTTGGAAGGCAAGTTAACTTTAAGCAATTTCAAGAGAAGTGATGAGTGTTCTGAGAAGGGAACTTCTGGGTGCTCCAGAAAAGCATATAGTAAAGATACTACATCTCATCTCTCGTCAGAGGAGGTCCCCATGAAGAAGTGACATTTGAACTGAAGCTTCTCAGAGGATTTCAGATGAGAAGCTGAGGGGACAGTATTGCAGTTTAGAAGTCAGCACTGGCAACGAGGCCTGAATCCAAAGAGAGTTGAGTGTGATGAACCAAAGGAAAGTCAAAACGTTGGTCCTAGAGAATGAGGGGCAAGGAACTGTGCCCTGCTTCCTTTAGAACCAATGTTATCTAATAGAATTTCTTCAGTGATACAAATGTTTAGTGTTCTGAGCTGTCCAACATGGCTACCACTAGCCATAGGTGGTTATTGTGACTGAGAAACTGATTTTTAAATTTAATTTGATTTAAACTAAATTAAATAGTCACTTGTGTCTGGTGGCTGCCATATTTTACAGGGCAGTTCTAGAATGAAAAGTTTTCATTCTAGAAATGAACTCTAGAAAGCTCTTGGAAAGCTTTTGCAAGGAAGGGTGAGGACCTATTCAAGAAGACCCTTCCCTTCCCACCCAGCCAACTTCACAATGCTGAGAACATCTTTAAGAGAGAAACTTCTTTGAAAAGCATAATTTTGAGTCCTCCCAAAGAGGATGTTACTTCGGAGGAGGGGTGATCTTCTTTTGAGGCTGAATTCAGTGTCATGTGATGTGACAGACAAGTAGAGCAAACCAATAAAACCTCAAGGCCTGGTAACCTTCAGAATATTCTTTCAGGTCCAACATTTGTTTGGAGTTTAGAATTGCAGAATTGTAGGATTTTAAAGCTAGAAATGTAGTCGAGCTCATCTATTTGGAAGATAGAACTGAGATCCATAGAGAGGCTGGTCTAAGAAAGTAGATGGAATTGGGGAAAAAACCTGGCCAAATGCCCATCACCCAGGTCATGTCACAGGCAAGACAGGGATGCCAGTATTTCCCGTGTCTGCTGCCTGG